AGAGAGAGAGAGAGAGAGAGAGAGAGAGAGAGAGAGAGAGAGAGACAGAGAGACAGAGAGACAGAGAGACAGAGAGAGAGAGACAGTTGGCAGTGTTTGATCAAAGGAAAACAAGGCGCCACGGTTGTCTGAACGACACAACAGCCATGTCACAGGAATTTATTTTTTCTTTAACATATTCCCTTAAACAATTGTTTCTTTACACAAACACACAGGATGTTATGTGAATTGTCTGTTACCTGTCAGCTGTCTCAGATCTGAATACTCGTGGTTTTACATGTTTAATTCTGAACCAGTTCATCAGCGCTGAAGCAAATCTTTTACTACTAAGCTGTTGTTTTTTTTTCATTTCTCTCATGATTTTTAATTTTATTACTAGTGTTGTAGTCAAGACCACTTAACCCGAGACTAAGTCAAGAACAAGACCACAGCTCGAGACCGAGACAAGACCAAGACTTTTAAGGCCTGGACCAAGTCAAGACCAAGCCAAAGGAGGGCAAGACGGAGTCAAGACCAAGACCAGAAAAAATACAAAAAAAAAAAACCTATATTAGTTGAGCGCCATGTACAAGTGAAGAGGGGGATAGGTGACAGCCTGTAACAAAAATACAGAAATAGCAATGAGTCAGGTTTGGATTTGAATCACTACTGTGTGTTATACATTCAATGAAATCAAGGATGTTAACAAATAAATTGGACAATAATCTGGCTATGTAGTGATATTTCCACAGTATTGGTCTTGGCTGGTCTTGAAATAAAATTCCAAGTCCTCAGTGTCTGAGACAAGACCGAGTACAAATGCTGTCAAGTCTGACACAAGACCAAGACCATCAAAAAGTGGTTTCAAGTACTACAACACTAACTACCCCTCCAACAGCTTTGGAAGACCCAAAACAATTGAGAATACTGTGGAATGACTTCTGGTATTAATGAATTATACAACGTGGATAAAATTCCCAGAAGACAACAGTGGAATTTTGGCTAAACAGTTTGAAATCCCAGCTGTATGGCTCCTCAGGCATACTTCACAAAAAAATCACTTAAAATTTAAAGAAGTCACAGAAAGTTTAACATTTTAAATGATCTACACAATCACAGTTTATGTTTAAAAAAAACTTTCTTCACATTTTACTTTAGAATGTTTAAACTAAAACTGGTGTATGTAAAACACTAACTTCTGAGCTGCTAAACTGATCTCCATCTTCAGCGTATGTGTGCAAGAGACAGAGGACACCTTGAGCAGGTCATGAAGTAGCAAGTCCATCTTTATACTATAAACACATCATAATGAATGTGTATGATGACTGCACAATTCTGACACTCAGGGTTCAGGGTTCTAATACAACATAAAACTTTCTATACTGCTAACAGGGAGTGAGAGTCATAAAAGTGTGGAGTTGTCATGGTTATCATAATAAGCTTTTCAGTTCATATACATCAAACTGCCAGCATTTTGTCAGCAACAGTTGAGCTTTAAAGTACAAAGTGAATGGATGTATTTCAAAAAGTAGCTACAGTGAAAAATTACATTTGGAAGTACATGAATGGACGGATGGATGGATGGATGGATGGATAGATGGGTGGATGGATGAAGAGATCTTGAATCTGATTGGACAGACACAGAACATAAATCAGGTGTTCTTACCTGTTCTACCTGTGTGTCCTCAGGCTCTCTTATCATTGGTGTTACTATGGCAACCCTGCAGTGGGTGGGGACAGGGACTGTCAACGATTGACGCTTCTTTGGAGGCAGAGCTGGAGGACTGACCAAGAAAGAGACATAAGGACGAAGAAGGACAGATGATAAGACAGTTATTATTTAGACAGTTTTCTGAGATATGGTCCATGTCTAAAGTGTCCAAACATCTGTTACTGTGGACAGAGACACAGACACAAACAGACACACAAACAGAGACACAGACACAAACACAGACACAAACAGACACACAAACAGAGACACAAACACAGACACAGACACAAACAGAGACACAAACACAAACAGAGACACAAACACAGACACAGACACAGAGACACAAACACAGACACACAAACAGAAACACAAACAGAGACACAGACACAAACACAGACACAAACAGACACACAAACAGAGACACAAACACAGACACAGACACAAACAGAGACACAAACACAAACAGAGACACAAACACAGACACGGACACAGAGACACAAACACAGACACACAAACAGAAACACAAACAGAGACACAGACACAAACACAGACACAGAGACACAGACAAACAGACACACAAACAGAGACACAGACACAAACACACAAACAGAGACACAGACACAAACACAGACACAAACAGACAAACAGACACACAAACAGAGACACAAACAGACACACAAACAGAAACACAGACACAAACAGAGACACAGAGACACAAACACAGAGACACAGACACAGAGACACAAACACAGACACAGAGACACAAACACAGACACAGAGACACAAACACAGAGACACAGAGACACAAACACAGACACAGAGACACAAACAGAGACACAGAGACACAAACACAGACACAGAGACACAAACACAGACACAGAGACACAAACACAGACACAGAGACACAAACACAGAGACACAGACACAAACACAGAGACACAGACACAGAGACACAGACACAGAGACACAGAGACACAAACACAGACACAGAGACACAAACAGAGACACAGAGACACAAACACAGACACACAAACACAGACACACAGACACAAACTGAGACAGAGAGACACAAACAGAGACACAAACACAGACACAGAGACACAAACACAGACAGAGACACAAACACAGACACACAGACACGAACTGAGACACAAACACAGACACAGAGACACAAACAGAGACACAGAGACACAAACACAGACACAGAGACACAAACACAGACACACAGACACAAACTGAGACAGAGAGACACAAACAGAGACACAAACACAGACACAGAGACACAAACACAGACAGAGACACA